AAATGGTGTACTTATCTACAAAATACCTAAAGTCCCTACAACCCTGTAAAAAACTTGGACCAAAATATATAGGGCCTTTTCCAATTAAAAGAATCATAAACCCAGTAACAGTAGAATTAGAATTACCCAAAAATCTCAGGCAAATACACCCAATTTTTCATTGCAGCTTGCTGAAAAGAGAGCATCAGTCATCGTTACGATCAAAACCCCCCGCCACCTCCAATCATGGTGGAGGGCGAACAACACTTTGAGATAAAGGAAATCCTAGATTCTAGGAGATATCATGCAGCAACTCAGATGCAAAGTGGGGTGGGTCCTTACTCCATTGCGAGTCCTCTGGTTCCTCAACAGGCTGGAATTGTGACTGAAAGTTCTCCCACAGTCAGGACATTCAAAGGGTTTCTCTCCTGTGTGAGTCCTCTGGTGTCTCACAAGGTGAGAATTACTAACGAAACTTTTCCCACTCAGGAAATTCAAAGGGTTTTTCTCCTGTATGAATCTTCTGGTGTGTTACCAGGTTGGAATTGTCACTGAAACCTTTACCACAATCAGGACATTCAAAGGGTTTCTCGCCTGTGTGAGTCCTCTGGTGTGTTACCAGGTTGGAATTATTACTGAAACCTTTACCACAATAAGGACATTCAAAGGGTTTCTCTCCTGTGTGAATCCTCTGGTGTCTCGTCACGCTGGAACTGTTACTGAAACCTTTACCACAATCAGGACATTCAAAGGGTTTCTCTCCTGTGTGAGTCCTCTGATGTCTTACCAGGCTGCAATTCTTACTGAAACCTTTACCACAATCAGGACATTCAAAGGGTTTCTCGCCTGTGTGAGTCCTCTGGTGTGTTACCAGGTCGGAATTATAACTGAAACCTTTACCACAATAAAGACATTCAAAGGGTTTCTCTCCTGTGTGAGTCCTCTGGTGTTTCACAAGGCTGGAATTGTCACTGAAACCTTTACCACAATAAGGACATTCAAAGGGTTTCTCTCCTGTGTGAGTCCTCTGGTGTTTCACAAGGCTGGAACTGATACTGAAACCTTTACCACAAACAGGACATTCAAAGGGTTTCTCTCCTGTGTGAGTCCTCTGGTGTTTCACAAGGCTGGAATTGCCACTGAAACCTTTACCACAATCAGGACATTCAAAGGGTTTCTCGCCTGTGTGAGTCCTCTGGTGTATTACCAGGTCGGAATTATTACTGAAACCTTTACCACAAACAGGACATTCAAAAGGTTTCTCTCCTGTGTGAGTCCTCTGGTGTTTTACCAGGTTGGAATTGTCACTGAAAACTTTACCACAATAACGACATCCAAAGGGTTTCTCTCCTGTGTGAGTCCTCTGGTGTTTCACAAGGCTGGAATTGTCACTGAAACCTTTACCACAATCAGGACATTCAAAGGGTTTCTCTCCTGTGTGAGTCCTCTGGTGTCTCGTCAGGCTGAAACTGTTACTGAAATCTTTACCACAATAAAGACATTCAAAGGGTTTCTCTCCTGTGTGAATCCTCTGGTGTGTCACCAGGCTGGAACTGTTACTGAAACCTTTACCACAAACAGGACATTCAAAAGGTTTCTCTCTGGTGTGAGTCCTCTGATGTCTTACCAGGCTGGAACTGTTACTGAAACCTTTACCACAATCAGGACATTCAAAGGGTTTCTCTCCTGTGTGAGTCCTCTGATGTGTTACCAGGCTGGAATTCTCACTGAAACCTTTACCACAATAAAGACATTCAAAGGGTTTCTCTCCTGTGTGAGTCCTCTGGTGTTTCACAAGGCTGGAATTGTCACTGAAACCTTTACCACAATAAGGACATTCAAAAGGTTTCTCTCCTGTGTGAGTCCTCTGATGTCTTACCAGGCTGGAACTGTTACTGAAACCTTTACCACAATCAGGACATTCAAAGGGTTTCTCTCCTGTGTGAGTCCTCTGATGTGTTACCAGGCTGGAATTCTTACTGAAACCTTTACCACAATAAAGACATTCAAAGGGTTTCTCTCCTGTGTGAGTCCTCTGGTGTTTCACAAGGCTGGAATTGTCACTGAAACCTTTACCACAATCAGGACATTCAAAGGGTTTCTCTCCTGTGTGAGTCCTCTGCTGTCTCATGACGTGCGAATTTTAAATGAAACTTTCACATTATCCAGGCACTCATACGTGGTGTCAGTCCTCTGATGTCTCACCACATTGGCATGCTCAATAGAGTATTTACCACATTTGGAGAAATTTTATGGTTTCTCTCCTGTATGGGTCCTCTCATGCGTAATTAGCTGTGATTTGCAAGTTGTATCTTTCCCACAATAAGCACATCTATGGAGCTTTTATACCACTTATATCCTTGAGGATGTCAAGGATATAATGGTTTAATGGTTTTTTTTATTAAAGCTTTTTTTTTCCTCCCAGAGCATGGCTTGCATCACTGCCTGCTTTGGGTGGCTCTCCACGTGACTTTTTCCTATCCAGTGACTTCCAGATATTTCCCTCTTTTACTGAATAAAGAATAATCTCCCTTGACTTTTCATGTAATGTATCCTTGAGTTCCATATGCTCTTCTTACTCCAGCTTGAAATCTTTCTTAATTTTCTCTCTTTTGTCTATCAGGTGCTGGAGAAGGAGAACTTTGTGGCTTTCTGAAGGAAATGGAAAATATTTTGATTTCTGGGTCAATTTTCTTTCAACGTTGCTTCTTATTCTCAGTTGTCCAGAGTGCTCTTATTGCCATCCTCTTTGCCTATAGGATTTAAAGAAAAGTGCAATGTTAATTTTTTCATAAAATTGGTGTAGAAAATATGAAAAAAGAAAAAACTATACATTAAAATAAAATGCAAAGATACCACAATGTTAAAATAACCTCTTATATTAATCATGATTCATTTGACACATGGAAGACTACTAAGGTCCAAGTTCAAATACAATTGTCAATTGTGCCTCCCGCTCGATCCACAGGTGAGGAAAGCAGAGCAATGGGTGGCACAGAGGTCAGCAGCAGCCCCACCCATCCTCAAAATGAACAACTGGGAAAGGATAATTTAACCAGATGCTGGGTGAAGATGTGTTTGTAAGGAACACCTGCTTTTTTTGATGTGCGCCTTCCCAGCTTTGCCAGATCCCGTTGCTTGAACTTTGGACTGTGTTTTTCAACTTGAAATGATAGAAAGTGTTGAAGCCATAGGAACCCTGGGAGGAAGTGATCATGCAATATTGGAATTCAACATTATGGAAGCACAGGCAATAGAACACAGTCAAACTAGAGTCTTGGACTTTAAGAGAGCTAATTTCAATAAACTTAGTATTCCATGGATGAGAATCCTCAAGGGGAAAACAACTCAAGAAGCTTGGGAAATTTTGGAAAGTGAGATAATAAAGGCCCAGTCTAGCACAATACCAACAACGAGGAAAAATAACAGCTCTCAAAAGAAACCAGCATGGCTGCATAAAGAACTCTCTGACAAATTGAAAGATAAAAAGGACAAGTATAGAAACTGGAAAGAGGGGCACATAACTAAGTCAGAATATCAGCAAACAGCCCGAGCCTCCAAAGATGAAGTGAGGAAAGTCAAGGCTCAAAATGAACTAAGGCTTGAGACCAAAGTCAAAAATTAAAAAAAAGCTTCTTTCAACATTTAAAAAACAAGAAAAAAGTGAAGGAAATGATTGGTCTATTAGTGGGTGAAAATGGCAAGAAGGTGACAAGCAACAGGGAGAAAGCGGAACTATTTAACTCGTTTTTTGCATCCGTCTTTACACAAAGAGAAAAAACAGACCAACCTATCAAAAATAGTGCCATAAAAAACAGAATAGATCCTGGAAAAGATAATCAAACAACGAATCAACGAATACCTCGAGGCAAATAAAGTCATTACTAAAAGCCAACATGGGTTTGTCAAAAATAAATCATGCCAGACAAATCTTATTGCATTCTTTGACCAAGTGACAAAATTAATGGATCAGAGGAATGCTGTGGACATAATTTACTTGGACTTCAGTAAGGCATTTGATAAAGTAGATCACAACCTACTACTTGACAAGATAGAAAAATGTGGGGTAGAAAGCATCACCACCAGATGGATCCGTAGCTGGCTGACCGGTCATACTCAGCGTGTGGTCCTCAATGGAACCGCATCTACATGGAGAGAAGTGTGTAGTGGGGTGCCCCAGGGCTCTGTTCTGGGCCCAGTGCTCTTCAACATCTATATCAACGATTTGGACGAGGCGATAGATGGGGAACTCATCAAATTTGCAGACGACACCAAGCTGGAAGGAATAGCCAACACTCCAGAAGACAGGCTTCAGATACAAAAGGATATGGACAGACTTGAACACTGGGCACTATCTAACAAAATAAAATTCAATGGTGAAAAAAGTAAGGTTCTACATTTAGGCAAGAAAAACCAAATGCACAGGTATAGTATAGGGGGTACCTTGCTCAATTGTAGTAACTGTGAGAGGGACCTCAGAGTCCTAGTGGACAATCACCTAAATATGAGCCAGCAGTGTGCTGCAGCTGCCAAAAAGGCCAACACAGTGCTAGGCTGCATTAACAGAGGGATAGAATCAAGATCACGTGTTAATACCACTTTACAATGCTTTGGTAAGGCCACACTTAGAATATTGCATCCAGTTGTGGTCATCGCGATGTAAAAAAGATGTTGAGACTCTAGAAAGAGTACAGAGAAGAGCAACAAAGATGATTAGGGGACTGGAGGCTAAAGCATATAAGGAACGGTTGCTGGAATTGGGTATGTCTAGTTTAATGAAGAGAAGGACAAGGAGGGACATGATAGCAGTGTTCCAATATCCCATTGGAGCAACCTGCCTCCAGAAGCGGTGAATGCTCCAACAGTCAAGGTTTTTAAGAAGAGATTGGACAGCCATTTGTCCGAAATGGTATAGGGCACGGGTCGGCAACCCGCGGCTCCGGAGCCGCATGCGGCTCTTTCAGCCGTCTCCTGCGGCTCCCAGCCACGTGCAGTGCCAAAAAAAAAATAGGACAAAAAAGTTGAACCAATCAATTCAAACTTCTCACGAAAGAAGTTTGAATTGATTGGTTCAACTTCTTTGGTTTGTGGGACGCTGTTCGCCATGGGCTCGACATAGACGGGAGGGGAAGGAAAGACAGCTCCGGAGGGAGACAGCCCTGTAGCAAGAAGCCGGCGGTCCGAGCAGATCGGCACGGAAGATCTACCGGTCGGCGTGGAAAGCTCCAGCGTTGCCGGTGAGCAAGGCTTGACCTGCACGGCCCGGTTCCGCACCCTGACGACCAGCTGGATCGGCTTTCATTGCTCCAGCCCGGGGACGCCAGCAGCATACAAAGCGGTTTGGCGGCGCTGCCGTGGCCGAGGTGTCCTTGCAGCGGACAACTTGGGCCTGGATATTTCCTGCGGCTCGCAGCTCAGGACCGGAGACACCGGTGGTGCACGGCCCGGACTGTCAGCGTTGCCATGGGACCACCCCCTGCGGTGCCAGCTAATGTGGCATGTTTCCAGTGGCGAAAAAGGGGCCTGAGGGGAGGTGGAACAAGACGCTGGGCAGCACGAACTGAGCACGGTCTTGATAAGCAACAAGCCAAGGCCCCACGTCCCTCCTGCCGCTGCTTAGTTCGTGCTGCCCAGCGTCTTGCAATCGGTTGGACAAAGCAGATAGATAGGATTGTAGCCAACGATAGTAGGACATTAGAGCCACCAACTCTGGTCTCCACCCGGGCGGGCGGGCGAGCAAAACCCCAAAACCGCCCGCCTCCCCGGGTGGAGACCAGAGTTGGCGGCTCTAACGTCCTACTATCGTTGGCTGTGATCCTATCCACCTGTTTTGTGCAACCGATTGCAGGCCAAGCGCTGCCTGGTTCTGAATTAATAGCTTGGGGGGGGCGAAGCCCACTGAACTGCGTGATCCCAATGACTGAGCTAAGTTTGCAGGAGCCTCCATCGGATTGGAACTTTCCTGTCCGATTGAGCTCAGTTTGGGCAGGGCCGTTCTTAGCGTGGGGTTCACATGTTAGTTAGTGGGGCTGACTAGTTCTCTGGCAAGAGTGCTGCCTTCCTCCAAAGCGCCGTCCTCGGAGGGGTAGTCCAAGGCACCACTTTCAGCCGTCTCCTTTGGTGCGGCCCCAATTCTG